ACCACATTTGACATGAACATTTGAATTACTCTATTATGGCACATATTTTAGTCACTATGTTGTAAAAGATTTTTTTTTTTTTACTTTGGCACCAATTAAACACACAACACTCATTAATTAGATGAAAATCAAGACTGTATTTATTCTTTCAACATTCAATGAATTGAATTTGTTTTACTTAACTTTTCCTCTTATTTTTGTGTGTCTTTCTCTTTATAAGTTACTGAACATTATATATGTGATAGACAATGCCAGTATTATTCTATCATATCACGCAGTATAAATATGCACGCAAAACCACCAAGTATTTTTTATGCATGGAGAAAATTAGGTACCCGGGCTTTAATTCCATGAGTTTTGGTTGCGCATAGGACACACGGGGGAGACCTGGACTTGCAACGAGCTGACGCGCGTGTCAATGGTTCTGTCCGTGTATGGTTCTGTCTATGGTCCTGTCTGAGTCTATGGTCCGCGTGTCTATGGTTCTGTCCAAGCGTCTATGATCCGTGTGTCTCGCATGTCTATGGTCCACGTGTCTATGGGTTCTGTCTGTGTGTGGCTATGGTCCTGTCTATGGTCCTGTTCGCGTGTCTATGGTCCACGCTCGGAGCCCCTAAGGCAGTGCGTTCACTGAGCTGTCCTGTCAAAGCGGCTGACACAAAGGGGCCGCGGCTGCTCCCGGGTCAGAGCGGAGGGTGTAACGTTAACGTTCGGGTTATCAACACATATCACAATTTTTAATGTATAAAACTAGTGATTTTCTCCTAGATATTTTCAGAAATTAAAGACAAGATGTTATGTAATAATTATTTAATGAAAACACAATTTAGCCAAAAAAATGACACTCAACCTATTTTTACTATTTACTCGGAACGTGCCAGCGCGACATCTAACGGGTTTTCCCAGATCGCATCACATATTGTTTTTTTACATCAGACATGTCCAAACTACGGCCCGGGAGACAAATGTGGCCTATAGTGTGTTAGTACGTGGCCCTCATACTATACCTTGTTGTAAAACTCAAGATGTGTAGTTGTATATACTGACATTTGTTTTTGATTGTGTCACAAAATTCCATCAATGGCACAGATGTGGCGGCATGGGAATAAAAATAATAGCTATATCAAACCCCTTCTTAAAGTCGAGAACAGTCAATAGAGACAGTTTTACAATCCATGTTGTCGGCTTCTGTACCAGTCTGCTGAACTTAAGTGGCCTTGTATAATAGCTTTCATTGTTTTATTTAATCATATTTTTGAGTTCTTCTTGGCTTTTCTTTTTATGGAATGTGCATGATCTCCCTTTGTCTAAACTATTTTCCCTTAAGAACTACAGTTTTTCAATCAAATCTATGCGCAGTTAATCCTCCAGACTAAGATAGCAAAAAATATGGGGAATGGACCCTGAGCGAGGCTTATCAGATGTCGACTTGATCCCATAGTAGCGTTACAAAAATCTTTAAGCTTTAATGAAACATTATTGCATACGTCTCTCTAATTTCAAAGCATTTTTTAATAATGTATCAAACATGGCCTGGATATTAGCCCTCACATAATGCAACCTTGCACCAGTCCATAGTTTGAATCATTTGGGGAAATATATTTGTTATAATCAGCACTTGAAAACGTGACTCCATTGTGTGTGTGTTCTCAATATGAAACCAGATCAGTGTATGACATCCCTGGGCTGATTGTGTTATTATTGATCGGTGATGTTCCCAGGTGTACGGTGCATCTTTTCTGTCTTTTGCCTTTGCACTTTATCTGTGGCGGTAAGGGCAGAGATAGGGCAGTGTTTGACTTACTAAGAAGTAAGCTTAGTAAGCTTTATTTATTTATATACCGCCTTTCACAGACCAGAGTCACAAGAAGCAATGGACCTATTTATGAACGTAAATGTCACTATGCAATTTATACAAGTGTGGTGGCAGTTTCAATAGAAGTTCAATCAGAATGTTAAACGGGACATAAGATGCATAAAACATGAAATCAAGCCATGTAAGAGTTGTTTTTTCTTCTCATTTAAACAGTTTAGATTGTGTTTAGAGGGACTAGTAAACGAGAGTAACTGTTCTCCAGAAGGAAAGATGACATTTATCCCGCTGGCTCTTCAGATTTACCAAACTGCTCACAGGGAAGTGCTCATGATCACCATCGCTGCTTTTCACTGACATAGAAAAGTAAACCTCAGTGACACACTCATAATTTTGGGTTTACAAATCTATGTTTTAACATGATCCTGGTGTTTTTAATTTCACATTGACAATGTCTTTGTAAACAAGTTGGCATTACTCCTAAGTACACAGAGACACATCCAACGTTTAATCTTTTTATCATGTTAGAACTTATCTAGTTTTATTTTCTGAATCTGTGACATAAAGCTGATTTATACCTGTGTTTTCAATTCCTTTGATGTGCCTTAGTTTATACTGAACTCACATAAAAGGGCAGAGAGCAGACCCATGTGGCAAGCCTGAATACAGAATTGCACAGACAAATCAACATTGACGTTTCAAATGTTTATAGATAGAAAGATAGATACTTTGTTGATCCCCGTAGGAGAAATTCAAGTGTATGGTGCATCACTGTGTCTTTTGCGACCTGTGGGAGTCACATGCTATAGCAAACCAAACAGAAATCTGTGTAGTTTAAAATTTCTTGCATCATTTGGTAAAAATATGATTGGTCAATTAAAATAATCTAGTATTTTTAGTTAAATAAGTCTAGCATTGAATAAATCCACATGCAAACATCGTCATAGGGCGGTAACAATTAACCAACCTCCTGGGATTAGAGCAGATAATACTGGTGCTCACTCATAAATTATCCGACCAAATTATGTTTTGATGTTTTTCCCTTATCATCAAAAGCCTGATTATAAAATACTTCCTTCAATAACTCTCCAAAGCAGTCAATTTCCCATTTGTGGCAGGTTTGTCCTTTTGACTTAATTAAAAATTAATTAAAAGAGCCAGTTATTTACGTCAGAAATAATGTTGATCGTGATTAAATGGAGTTGGACTAATTTGATGCATGCCTTAAATAAATGAATTTGGAGGTTGATTCAATATTTTATACACGCTAATGGTGATAATATCTTAGATGTATGTAGATCATGTCAACAAGTTATCGTGTTTAAAAATGTAACCGCAGCTGCCCCGAGGCAATTGATGAAAATGTGGTTGTCAACATTGTCAAGTTTCTTTTATTTGTTTTTTGGGTGGGACAGTGCGTATTAGTGTGTATGGTATTTAACAGCAGTGACGGTGAATTCTCCAGACTTTGCCTTTTTGACTCCAATTCCCACAGTTGCACTAACAAACACAAAATCTTCCATTCACCTATTGTATATGCTTTTACTGGAAAGGAAAACCGGAGCACCTGGAGGAAACCTACGCAGAGACCGGGAGGACATAAAAACTCCACACTAAAGCACAAGAGCTAACCACTGCGCCACCGTTCTGTATTTATAAATATGCAATGAAAATAGCTCTGATTTTGAGTATTGAACATTGAAGAAAGAAGTTTCATGCTAGCAATTATTAATAGTCCACTTTTAGAACAAAAAATAAATAAAAATCTGCCCAAAAATGATGAAAAAGAAAGAAAACAAAACAAACCAAACAATCCTGTCCTTCATTTTTGATATGTATATTTATTGATAATGTCAATTTCAGTTTTTGTTAAAAAGTATTGATTGTCTATCAACCTGTTTCATGGCTGTCAAACATTGTTTCACTGTTAGCGACCAGATTAATACAGTTTTCAACATACATTTTTTTACTCATACATTTTATTATCTTTATCTACCCAAATTGCAGCATCGGTGGGGGTTAGAACGAGGAACAATCTTGTCTTTAATTAAATACTACTATTTCAAATGTAAGCAAAAAGACAAGGCATTTCTCGACATGCTGTTTTGCATTGAGCCCATTCACGGTTTGCCACCAGCAAATCCTCATTACCTTCAAACGCCATTTTCAAACTGTATTTTGGGAGCCGTGCCAAGCCGTGTCTTTGTCTTTTTCAGCTGCAGGAAATTTTCAAAACAATTTGGTTTTCGCATCTTTATTTTTGTGATTTGACTTCTGAATAATTAATGCTGTCTCTGCTTCATGGAGCGCGTCACACGGCCCCTCCCCCACCTCCCGTTCTCTCAAAACAAAATTAACATGAAGATAATGTGGTATGTTGTGTTCAAAGACGTGCCATTTTGTTGGTAATTGGCGTATTTAAAAAAAAAAACTTAGTGATGTCTTATACCAATGTAGTTTTTGGACACAAATCAATATTCCATTTGTTTTGTTTATATATTTGTTACAATATGTGAAAATGACAAATTACCAGTAGGTTCTCTGGGAAGGCTGCAGGTCACGGTGAAAATGTTTTGTTGCCATGGTATTTATCAGTTTGATTGAAGGAGCACATTTTCATTGTTTGCTCCGGTGTAGAATATTACAAAACAATAAAACCTTCCATCCATAAGATCGATAACCAAATTGTCAATTTTGGAACTACTCACAATGTGAAAACTTATGATACATATGATATATCCTCATTACTCGCAAAGTATCAAGTTGTTAATATTTGGCTCACAGCTGTAAAAAAAAAAAACAATAAAACCTTTGAAATGGATGTTAAGCCATCAATCTCTTAAAAACAGGCTTGGCATCTGTCACTTTTTGATTTTACATTTTAAGTTGACTAAAAGAAATACATCTTTTGTGCGATACTCCTAATTTCTGAGTTTCACCTGTAATTTCTAAAGAAGTCAACAGGAGACAGAGAAAGTTGGGGCAAACCTGGTCCATGAGTACGTCCCTATTGGGTTTCTCCGTTGGGGGTCAGCATTGTCCATATACTCACAAAGTCACATTCCCCTGTTGTTGTTGTGAGATAATAATCCTGCCGTACCTTTCCCAACGTCTCGAAGCAGGTGCAGGGGGAGGGTCTATCATCACACACTGCATTGAGCTGTGTAACCCGCAGCGTTCAGCCACGATGGTGATGAGTGATGGACCCTCTGGGCACACTCCAAACACCACCATGTTTGACACTTACCATTTCACCAGAAAGACCTCAACATGCAGGTCAGGCAGTGTGCTACATTTATTGGAATCAAAGTAATGGTTGCGCAGTCGGGCATATAACAGAAGGTATATCGGTCATATAACAGGAGACATATTCACATATATATATATATATATATATATAAATACATGATGTAAAAAAAATGTTCATATATATAGATATATATATATATATATATATATATATAATATATATATATATATAGATATATATATATATATATATATATATATATATATATATATATATATATATATATATATATATAGATATATATATATATATGAATATGTCTCCTGTTATTTGACCAATAATGTAAAAAAAACAATACATGGAAATTAGAATATTGCTTGAAGTCCATTTGTTTCTATGGATACTATAATTATTACACTAAACATATGTAAAGCTTTTATTTGTTTTGTTATAAAATGGATCACAACTTGTAAAAAACAAAAATAAATATGTATTTTGAGTATGGACTGTAAGCCACAGTCTTCAACAGAGCATGTATATGAATGTAATTTTATTTTGTGATTCAATTCATTGGGATGAAACAATATGATTATAAATAATCAATAACCAATATCCAGTAATGACCTTGAGGCACTGGCTACTACCAACAATGTTTTTTTTTTTTTCATTATATATTATTTTGACAATATCAATATCACCGATTTCTATCTATGAAAAACATCATCAACTTTATAATACAACACACATTGTACATGTTCCCTGAAAGTAATATACATATATTTTCAATCTATGTACTGTTAAGTTAAACAATGATAGTTCATGACAGAAGGCAAACATGAGAAATGCCAAAAGAGCCGTAAAACTAGTTATGAGTCCTTAAGGTATTACACATTACACTGAAGTAGAACTGCATTTTAACAGTTCCCCTATTGGAAGTGTCTCTCAATATCACAAATCACTATTTTCTTTCTTCTCCTACTTTCCAAAATTCTCAACCTTTTCCTAAAAAACACAATTTATATTGAATAACTGCTACTGCAAGATACTGTTTCTTTAATGTGTACTTCACATCAATACTTCAGTTTTTTTCCTGCAATGAGGAGAGTTACATCAGTTTTTGGGGGAATGTGAGAAGGTTGAATTCAATTTGAGTAGAGCTCGTGCTGCGATATTCCCTTTATATTTCTCATATCATTGTTTTAGTGTTGATGATCTGTCCTAAGTTTCATACATCTCCAAAGTATGAAAGTGATTTAACATTTTTGTCACTGTTTGTCCATACTGGTTTCAGACAGATTTACTATGCTCTTGTTCTATACAATATCAATGTAGGTGTGGATACTAATGCCTTCTCACAAACACCAATGTTCTAAAAATGTCCCGGGTCGTCACTGTTCTCAGACCCTTCTGCAAGTAGAGAAAAAAATGAGTGAAGAAGCTATGTATCAAGAGTGCACTTCTTTGACTGCAAGGAAAGAGGTCTGCTCCTTTCTTCATCAAGTTGTCTGTGTAAAAAAAATAGGTTTGAACATTTTTATATTTCTCCATGTGTTCCTTTGTCCTGGGTGCATTACGCTCTGACTTTAATTCGATTCAATTTACTTGTGTATAGTATTTACAACAGATCAGAGCATGAAATCGGGCGACAGTGGCTCAGTTAGAGCACTGGCCTTTGAGCCCGAAGGTCATCGAGCCCACCATGAGACCTTCTCCACTGATGTCTGCTGTCGTTGTGTCCTTGGGCAAGACACTTAACCCACTTTGCCTATAAGGAGCGCGGAAGTGATGTTCGCTGCTTGCCTTGATGTGTACTGTGTATGTACAGTGTGTATGTGTATGAATCAAACTGAAATATCCCCATTGTGGGACGAATAAAGGACCTAAATAGTTTGAACTCAAGAATATTCGATGATAACCACATTGGCGTCATCGGTCCATAGGGAGCAGGATAACCAATGTCCAAAATGTAGAAATGTGAATGCATGTTTTCTAATTGTCCCAGATCATCTTTGTTCTTTGACCCTACTATATAGGCAAGGAATGACTCAAAATAAAACCTATTGGTAAAAAAGCCACGTTCCCAGCGACAAAAAGCAACATGGGTCCAATCAACACCCCAATCATTCCCACTGTTGTCTCTGTTCGACACAGCATTTCAACACCGGTCAAACAACGTGGCTCTGCAGTATCATAAGTCTTTCATTTGGTTATGTTGTTATAGCACATGGCAGAAATCTAGGGTAAATATTCATACAAAAAAAATCTTCACAATAGAAACATGAGAAGAAAGTCAAACAGAACAATCTCTCCAGGTCTTGGAACTGGCCCCATGTGTCAGAGTGAGAGATTGAAAAACACAGCACAGATCATTTACACATTAAAAAGTGTTTGACTGACATCTGCCAACCCACCAGCTCACCCTACAACAACTTTTCTCCTCACTGGAAAACCCTGACTCCTGTTACCGCTCACATTCTAAAATTCCCTCTAATTTCTTGTCCAGAGCTCTCTCCGTGTTTTTCTCCGACCGCCAAATCGGACGGAGCTCCTGCCAGTCAGACGCAACTATAACCACAGACAGCAATCCTGACACAGCGTTTGTTCCGTAACCTTCTGCTGAGTGTCTCCAGGGGACTCTCTCAACAGGACCATTTCACTAGTCTTTTTTTTTTTTTTGTGGATGCAAAAGTCCAGGTCATAAAGTCCAATGAGGTGAACATGGCCACCTCGAAAATGACAGTAGCTGTGGATTTGGCAGCTCCACCGGTGTTTGGGGAGTTTCAGGAGTCCGTCATATACTCTGGCTGTACTTTGGGTAATAGGGACACAGAGAGGTCAGCATGAGGTTTATGACAGTTTACATCAGATATGTCAAATACACCACATGAAATATATATTTAGTGACTCTGATATGGTTTTAAATTATTACTGTTAAAGCTGGAGTCCCTAACATTTTTCTTTCATTAATACATTCAATTTGGAGCAACGGAAACTAAGATATACAAATCAGATCACTACATGTCTTCATCTTTTTAGAAAAAATGTGATCCTTGCAGAGAGAATTGATTGGTCGAGTGAGGGCTCTTGCTGCACACAGTTTTGACAGAAATCAAACATGCATTCATGGGGAAACTAGAGAAAGAGCCAATCTGTTCCGAGGGCTAAAAAAAAGTCACATGGAATTTATACCATTGCCTCAAATTTCCTCAAACCTCAACAACAACACTCTCAACATTCACCCCAAAAAAAATTTAATTATTGAATTCCAAACAAAAAACAACCAACAAATATTATCTGCAATACCCAGTTTTGGTTCCAAAAAATAAACCAGCAAATAATGTTGAAAAGTTGTTGTTACAATGTATAAGTATCCCATGTAAGTTTCATTTCAAATATGGTCACTTGAAAATATTATTTGCAGAATATCAGGGAAGATATTTATCTGTTCTATCCATCTTATCTATTTGTCTATCTATCTATCCATCTTTCTATCTATCCAAAACTATTTCATAGGGTCAATCTTTTTAGATAAACCATTCCCATTCTGAGTGAAAAAACTGGCCCCAACACTTGGAACTACAAAAAGTACTCCAAAAATAAAATACTTGGATACTAGGAAATCATTGTACTACATGCCAAAAAAACATTGTGGAAATATTAGTGCTATAATTTCTCTTTCTAAAAGCTTTCAGACATCATATTACCCGTATTATAATAGAAATAACAGTTTGTTAAGTCAACCAATCAAAAAAGTAACTACTGACTTGTATTCTATTGTTGCACCACATGTCACTATCCTCTTTGGTCCAAAACAATTGTTCTTCTTATCAAAAATGTGTTCCAGCAGGTTGGTAAGTGAATGATGAAAGACCCAGTTAATTTATGAAAAAATACACTTTTTTATTATTCCTTTTAAACCAAACACCCAAGCTATTAAAACTGGGATACAAAACCATAATAAGAACAATAATAGTTCTACCTGCTGTTTGTCCCAACACAGTCTTGTTCAAATTAAAGTAGAATTGCAAATGATACCACCAATCAAACCATATTCAACTTATTAGAAAACGTTGTGAATGTATTCTTATCTGATAGATCCTTCTGACTCATTAATTAACACTTTGGGCAGAGAGCTGATTGGCTAAGTCAGGATGGTCCTCTTTTAGTGATTAGAATTGTCTTTCACATGTCTTTGAAATTAGCATCTTGACCATCTTGAATCAAGACGTTTTGAGAGGGTGGTAAAAGTATGCATTTTAATATATTGTTTACCATTAATAGTCACATTTGTTTGTTGTTTGAACATTCCCTCACATTTAATCTATATATTTTTTACACTAAAATGGCATATTGTGTTAAGACAAAATGCTGTAAATGCAAATCTAGAGTTATAGTGCCCATCAAATAAAAAATAAAAACATTTGACAACAAGCAGATTTTGCTCCTGCGATCCTGCTTCTCCAGATCTCCATCTAATTCCATGCCTGGTGTTAACATGTCATTCAAAGTGATGCTAAACAGGGTCACACATATATGCATGTGGACATGGCCTGTCACTCCCCACTTGTGCCTGCCTTGTCACCAGACTGCGTGTCTTTTGTCGGGCCACTTATCTCCCAGTGCCTACATTCTTTGTCAAGTGTTTGGGTCAAACCCGCCTGACCTTCTGTCTTCTCAAATGTCCACCTCTGAAGGCATCATATCTGCAACATCAACACTATCTCCTGTTTCCTACGGCTGGTGTCTCCCTCCGGCTGAGATGAATGGGCCAGGGACGCGTCTCCAGGGACCCCCGAATCAAAGCTGCACCCCATCACGGACATCCTTTGAGAGGGGAGGGAGGGGCGACATCCAGGGGGGTCTCCAGCAGTGCCGCTTCAAAGGAGTTTTTATCATGTCCAGGAGCTGACCGCGGACGGACAGACGACTCCAGTCAGAACCCAGTGGTGTTTGATAGGCTGCTTGTCTGCTGGTATCCACCGCCAGAGACTAAAGGCTTCAATAATCATTAAACACACAGGGGATGGAGAGAAAACAGCAGTGCTTTGATTTACCTCTGCTCAAGTTTATCCTTCAGATCAAATGCAGGAAGTGGTGCTGTTTTCATTGGCTTTTTTCTTCTCTGCCGACACCCGAAACATGTGCTTGAACAGTTAGCTTTTCTCTTCACCCCCACTGCTTTTTAGGCCCGAGCCCCATCAGGGATAAAGGCCTATTTTTTTGTATCTATTTTGTAACCCTACCCCAACTGCTCCTATTATTGTCTGCTGTCGTTGTGGCCCTGGGCAAGATACTTAACCCCACATTGCCTGAAGCCCCCGCTGAAACGCCAAGGCTGTGTCAACGCTGACAGAGCAGCCATTTTCATGTGGACCCACCTGGTGCTGGTGCTGGACTGGACTGGACTGGTGCTATGAGCAGTGGGTGGCAACTCACCATCCCCCCCCCCCGACCCAGAAACGGAAAATCAAAGAATTAATGAACAACCTTTAAATGATCTGACAAAATTGGTACATTAAGTACAGTTTAGAAAAAAGGGGGGAAATTTATTTTGTTGTTCATAATGGTTTGTTTGTTCAAAATGGTTCATAATAGTCTTCTAATCTATTCATCCTGTCTGTTTGAGTTTAACACGTGCACTACTGTCAGTTAGAACGACATTTCTATAATTGATGTACTTGTTTTTGTAGGGATGCGTTTCTGCTGCAGGACACCTGGATTATCTGATAGGAATCAATAAAATATCTATCAATCTATCTATCTACAGTATCTATCTATTAATACAAGTTACCTTATTCTTCCCTGCGTCTCTTCCATGCGTGATTATACTGTTTTGCCATTGGAACTAGATAACTCCCCCGAAAATAAGATTAAGATTAAGAGATCCTTTATTCGTCCCACAGTGGGGAAATTTCAGTGTTGCATCACAAGTTATAAAACAGTAGGAAGGAGGAGCACACGGCACAAGTTAAGTGAACAAAAGTGAACATTATTAAGATAAAAACACATGACTGAGAAATAATGCAGCAACCAGAGCACATCTCCAACCTCCATTCTGTTCTGAGTGAGTTACAAAGTTTGTGAGCTGGGTGAGCCAATGGACAAAACTAGTCTTCTTACTCAACACAGCAAAAAATATATGTCAAAAATGTGTAACTAGTACATTTATCTTTTACAAATAAAGCATTTAGTTCCTTTTTTGGACTATTTCTATGTAAAATGTACAGTGCAAAGTCAATCATAAATACTATGTTATCTATCTTTCATCCATTTTTCCAGTAAAAAAAGCTTATATTTGCAAAAGCTATCGTTGCCGCTTTGCCATGTTTTTTTCCCACACCTTTGTCTTTTTACACGTTTTTGTTAAGAAACTATGTGTGTACAGCACTTACCATGTATAATGCACATTCAATAAAATGGCCCATTGTGTTTCACCGTGTCCTTCAACAGTGGAGCTCGCACCAGCGACCTCACAAGTCCTTGCATGCTTTAACAAATTCTGCACAAAGTTGCAGACGCAGCCTCTTTCCTGTTTCGAGTTTGACGGAAAACGGACAAGTAAATCACCGTAATGTCGGCGGACAGGGACGCCACGCCACGCCGTTTCCCCATTGCTGATTTTAATGCAGCGTGTTTCAAGGATGTTGGATTGGGGGTTAGTACTTCATTGGCTTTCTTCTGATGCCCCTGGACTGCTTTGAAGATGTCCTCTAGCCTACTAACCTTTTGAATTCTTATCACGGGCCAATATCTGTGCCGCAAAAGGAAAAAAAGCAGATGAATTTATGAATTTTACACAGGAAAATCATGGGAGAAAGTTGCCTGGCTAGGGACTTGTAAAATGCGATCACATACGATAGGAGCATTGATATTCCATTCAAAGTCTCTGCGTCGTGTTGCCGAGAATTAACTTCATGTAAGGGACGTTTCCTGCTTATTTCATATAAAGGTCACCTTTTTATACGCCTGATAAAGGTTGAGATCATGTATTCAGCCGGGGAAGAGAAAAAAAGATGCACAACGCTTATATCAGGGAGGAATTGCGGAGGAAAAGCAGATAAGGAACTGACGTGTGGATCTCCTGGGAGTCATTAGTCTGCTCCACTATGAGGGACCTTGTTATTGCTGAATGCCACGCCGTGTGTACAGTATGGATTTAATAACCGTTTCAGGCGTGTGCTGGTGTGAGCTGTCAACTCTACATAAACAAATCATCAGCTTTGAATATCTTACTGTGTTCTTTTTGTTAATTTGTTTGTGCGGAAATAACAAGTGGTTTGAAATTGCGGTGCTCGAACCTCAATGTGTCCTTATCTCTGTTTATTACTGTTCTGGTGTAGTTACTGTATATGTTTTTGAATATAGTTTGGAAAGATATTGTAGTATTTGACCAAGCTGTTTCTTTTTTTTAAATGACACAATACTAAAAAAACAAATAAATTGTGATTTTAAATTCTTTTATGCTTTCTTATTGAAATTCCTGAAGATGTGTGGCTGGCATCTACTCTTGCAGTTTTCAAATCCAGGTTAAAAACAGTTCTGTTTAGCTGTGCGTACAAATGAAGGATTTAGTTTTATATTTTATGTTTACTCTTTTTAGTGCATTGTGGCTGTTTATTATTTTTATCCCGTGTGTGTTTTTAATGTTTTAAGGTTTTTAATTTCCTATGATTTTATTCTGTTTTTAATATTTCTTGTGTGTTTTATGTATATGTAGATTTTAATGTTTATGATTTGCCGGCTATGATGTGAGTTGTGAGGCGCTTTGTGTTGCCTTGTGTAGGAAAGGCGCACTACAAATGAACGTTGATTGATTGATTGAAATCAAAATACAAATATTCAGAATAGACAATATTTGATTGAACCAAAACCATGTTTATACAAGACAAGAGTTTATTTGTAAAGCACAGAAAGTGGAAATCTGTGAAACCTGCTGCATATTTTTGGACAAATTATTGGAGAGGAAAAATACACAAAACACACAATTGTTCACAACCTGCGTCTGTTCCAATGCACCTGAGGCGATGTGCTTTATGTCAAACATTTAAATATGCAAATAGAACTGTTTTAAAGAAGCTATACCCGATTTTTTTTCTAAGTAGTTCATAAAAATGCTTTTTACTACATACAAGTTGTATCATAATACATCATTTAATTAAAAACTTGAGGTAATTGATTCAGCTGTGTAAGAATTACAAGCAGTGAAAACTGCTGAGTAGAGTCTGAGCGGGCCGCTCTTTCTCCTCCGCTCACAGAACGAGCAGCGAACAGCCTGCGTCCTCTAGCCTCTACAGCGCTGCTTAACACCAGGGCTTCGACTTCAAAATTCGAATATAATTCTAAAATAAAAAATGATGAACAAAATAATTGAATAAAAAAATGTGAACAAATATTAGACAACCCTTGTAATTCGAAATGTATTTAATGACTGCAAATAAAATAGTTAGCTCCCAAAGGTTTCACCGGGATGTGCTAGGCAGGTAACAGCTAAGCTAGCTAGTTGTTTCATGGTAACTTCCGGGTTTTTCGGAATTGCTTTTTGTCACATTGAAACAGTATTTTTGTCATGAAAACGTTAACAGCAAATTCAGAAATCATCCGTGCATGTGTGTTAAGGATGTATATGTGTACTGTATTGTCCGATTGACGTTTAATGGTGTTGATTGATAGATATGTAGTTGTTTATTGAGCGTGGCTAGCTCCGCTAGCTCCGTTGGCTTCTCTACACAGACGAGTGTGTAGTGACAGGTGCTGATAGCTTGTTGTACTTGCAGAGTAATGGCAGTATTTTACACACCTGAATTACAAACAGAGGTTGCATTGGGGCTTCGGTCATTATTGGTTTGAGAGTTCTGTTATCAAGAAAAAATGATCGGAAGAATGGCTGCTGCTGCTTTGAGGAGCTCTATAACAAATTATAATTAAATATTAGAATATATTCTAAGGTTTTAAATTGATACATTCGGACGCGAAACTAGCGGTATTCTTTTACTTATATATTGTGTTAGCAGTGCGTTGCTTTAGTGCCATTTCATCAGTGATTGTTGCACAGCTTACAAGAAGTTGCGCTAATGCTAATGTTAGCATATGTATCAGATCGCAAATAAAACTAGGTGGCTCTGTGTTATGAGAGCGTAGGGGAAATGAGAAGCCATTGAGCGAGTTGGGGGGCGGTGCTAAACATTCAAACATTGCAGAAACGGGTATAGCGCCTTTAAGAGTTTAGTTCCTTCGGCTTTTACACTGTAACAAATCTATGTTATCATTTTCTGGGTCGGGGGGGGGGCAATCAAAGCTGCACCCAGTACACATAGCACCAGCCCCTCACTGATCCTCCTGCAGGTGGTGAGTCCACAGGAGCTGAGATCTTTCAGTGGGGGCTTCAGGCAAAGTGGGGTTAAGTGTCTTGCCCAAGAATACAACGACAGCAGTCATCAGAAACACACTGTATCAGCAACAATCATTTACATGGGTAACCAAATGTATATTTTTTACAAGGTTTTGGACAGAGACTGATAACCATCCATCCATCCATCCATTTTCTTCCCCTTAATCCATTTCTGGGTCGGGGGGGTGGCAGTCAGAGCTGCACCCAGTACACATAGCACCAGCCCCTAGAGACTGAAAACACTAACAATAATTTCAGTTGTGAGTTGATCAGTATTCTGTAACTTTATACATTTGTCTTTCCATCACCGGTTGTGGAAGCAGATCCAAATGAAAGCTGCATGACCTTGGACTTTCTGTGAGGTCTGCATGTACTGTCACCTTTGAGGATGCCCAGATTACTCTGTTACTCTTTCGTAAGGGAATAGTGTCAATAATCTGTCACTTTATGTTTCAGCCCAAGGCCATTTTCATCTGCTGACATTCTTTGCACATGACCTCCTATAAACACAAAGAGATTAT